GCACTAGTCTTGAGACGATTAATCAAAATGGTTTAAACAAATTGTAATGAAAAAGATCTTAGTTTTTTATCTTTGATCCATCCCTGAAAATGAGCAATCGCTGTTTAAACCGCTGTGTTCTTTCTTTCTTCTCTGTCATTCAGTCGGTCATTTTCATTTATTTTTTATTTATTATTTTTATCAATCTGATCTGCGACGCACAGCTCATTCATAATTACTAAATCAACTTCTTGTTTGTTATACATATTGGTAACAGTGTATAAAATTCAATGTGTGGAATGTGCGGGTGTAACGTCATACATTAGTAGTTTTCTGCAGATAGTTTCTAACTTTGTAGAAATCTGCATTAGTTACACACTGAAATTTATACACTGATTGGTAATACCGGAAAAAGGTAATTTACAATTAAATTTTGACAACCAATTATGTTCGGTACAGGGTTGGCCATGGTATTGGTCCATTGGTGTAACAATTTAGGATTTTATTAATGGCAATGGACCAGACCAAAACTCGTTGGTCTCCAACCCTGATTCGGTAATCATGTATTAGTATACTTATTGATATCCGGCATTCAAAACAACATGATCAAAATCCAAATTCAAAGAGTAAATATTACAAAATGAAGTTTTTGCTGTTTACAGATAAAATGCGAAAAACGCCTTCTTGTGAGTTTTATTAATATTAAGGAAAATTGTCTGGAACAATCGTTAAAACATTCAACACTGATGTTATTCCAAATCCGGATTTTTTCCCGTATCAATACAATCTGATTGTTTTCCATGTATCGTTACATTCACTCATCTTCACTCAAATCTTAATAACAATTGTCAATTATGCATAACTTGCACTGCGTAATCACTTTTCATCAACGCATACTTTTTAGTATGAATATGACCAATTTGACCATTTTGAAGTTCTGGTTTCAAGTGAATAAATATGATTTTCTCACGTACAAATTGATTTGGCGTAGATAAAATACATCAAGAGTTGAAAGACTTTGTTGATGTGCTTTGTCATCAAAATTTCGGGATCAGTAAACCAGGTAGCACACAAAATCTTTTGGCAAAACACGTACTTTGCAAAAGGTATTTAAAGGACCAACTTTCTCCTTCAAAAAAATCATTATCTCACAATCATTTTATAAAAAAAAAAAAATTATTTCCTCACAATTATTTTATCAAAATAAATTTACAAAATGAGCCAATCGGAGTAAGAAAATTTACTGTTTGTGTTTATTAAACACTCGTATAACTTGTATTTAATTTCTTTTATTATAAATATTTTTTAGTTTGTACGCAAAAACTATTAAGATTGGTACTAATAGGAATAATAATTGGACATATTGGACAACGGATGATAATTATCGTATTGTTCTTAAAAATGCTGGTGATAAAGGCAATGTAAAATGTGGCCCACCTGGAAGTACAAATCAAGTTTGGCTTCTTCGAGGCTCGGAAGATAAAGAAGGTCTCGTCTCCATTCTCAGCATTCAGCATGATAAACGTCAACCCCTTGCGGTTACATATGATCCGGATGCTCAACTGGCTTCCAAAAAATTCTCGGTTAGACCGTTCGTCCCCTATGATGTAACACAATTATTCAAATTCGCTCCTCCTAAACTTTCTCAACCACAAGGAAACAACAATAATTATACTTTTCAGTCCACTATAGATAACCAATATATTAGTTTTAATAATACAACCCTTTCTGCTACTGATGTCGATGACCCTTGGAATATAACTTTTTTTTAATCTCGTTCTTATATATGTATTTTTTTTAAAAAATTTTTTTTATAAGTTTGTTCTAATAATCATTGAATAAATAATGATTTTATATTATTAACAGTCTTTTTTTTAATTGTTTCAAACCCAAATGGTTCGACAGCATATGATATAGTGTTAAAGCGTTGCATTAGCGAAGCTAGTATGGCTAAAGTAACCGTAAATCAGTGTTAACTATCAAAAAATCATGGCCCATTGAACCTCACTTTATTGATATTAAAACATTGCTGAAATAGCAGCATACAAATAAAAAATCATATTACAATTACATGATGCAAATACAAAAATAATATTACATCTCGTATTAAACGATGGTTCCAGACAATTTTCCTGTAATAAACTCACAAGAAGGCGTTTTTTGCATTTTATCTGTAGTCATCAGCAAAAACTTCAATGGAGACAATAACAGTTTGTAAATGAGAAAATTCATATCAGTATACGGAAATTCGTAATTTTCCATATCATCCTCAAAAAACGATGATTCGTTGTCGTCATCTGCTATTAATATTATTGTTTAATGTTGCTATAACAACTACTGATTGATAGATATCCATAATAATCATTAATGAAACTTTAATCAATATAAAACAATCACTAATAAAATACCTTTTAGTTTTTGATGAATCCCATCTACATAAAATTCTTCATGACTATTAAATTTCTATAAAATGGTTTTTCGTGAGCCTCTCTAAAACTTATTAACCAATACCCCCCTAAAGTAATGACCATATGAAAGCTTAAAGTATTCTACACCTTCTCATTTACTATCAAGTCTTTTAAAGCGATATTGAGAAATAATCTGAGCTTTGAAGTGAAAAAGTAATACCGTTTTTGAATAGCCGTGAATTCATGTAGAGAAGACCTTTCGATATGAAAGAGTATTCATTAGAAAGCTTTAATGGAGTACTTTCATTTTACTCTAACAACAAAGTTCGAGTTTATTATAAAAATAACGAGATAAAAAAACTTCATGTGACACGAATTTCGAATTTATTTTCATAGAAAATCAGCCTTAAAATGTCGTACTAATAGATATATCGAATATTAATGTTTATGTTTGTAGTCTAATCCATATACATTACTTTTTGTGTTCTCATGTGCAATCGAGCTAATTTGGCTATTATTAGAAGTTCATAAAACGTGTAAAAGGTCAGTTGATATATTTGTGCGATTATATACAGGATATCAAAATTGGATTAACTACACATGGTTTAGATTCTTGTTAGCGTATTAATGTGTATATATATCAGCCAGTATTCCCTCAACTAGAATTTACACAAAAAAATGAATCGGGTTTTAGATATGTATATACTTGATGAAAACAATAGGCCTAAAACCCTAAATACACTATACACTATAAATCATATAATAATAATATATAAAAACACTAAAAACGTTAAAAACAATCAATTATGGAATTAGATAGATATTTTCATGGTCGTTGTACTCCTGAAGAATGGACTGAATATTGCTGGATGCCACAAGTTCGTACTGATGAAACTCCTGGAGATTGGAAATCGCGAATTTGGACTCGTTTGATGTATTTTAGAGAAAATGATCTTTTTCCAGGTGAAAGCAATAAATATCTAGAAGCTAGTAGACCGAAAAAATTATCAGATGGAACTTTGTATGCTCCTACGATAGGAATAGCAATCTGTTTCTCTTGTAACCAGCTAGTATATACCGGTCTAAGAATTATAGTAGTATTGGAAATTATAATCATGCAGGTATGGAGAAGCATTGGAAATTCTCTTGTTCTGGAAATGAATTCTGCAGTGTAAGTTATGAAGAATATACAAAAATTAAACAAAAACCTAAATCTGCTCCTTATAGTTTTGAAGATAAGTATGCATTTCATCGTTATAAATTGTGGATGGAAAATGCAACTAAAAGACTTAATGTGCAAGAGAGGTTGGAAGAAAGATTCGAGCTGTAAATATCATAAAAGAAAAATGGATTGAATATATATACCGTCCCGATGGTTTAACGGCTAAAGAACTAGCTGAACATTATAAACTCTTACAGTCTGTTAGAGAAGAAATGCGTCAGGCTAATGCATAATTATTATGGATTTATTTTCATGATTTTTTTTTTTAAAATACAATTACAGGAGGCGGAAGGTAAGTTATTTCAAGCTTAAAAATTCTCGATTATAATACAATCTAATATCTTTATTACGCAGTCAGTAACTTGGCTTTGCTAACTTTGCTAATTTCCTTTTCCAGATCTAGAGGATTCATCCAACCGATTCTAACGGACATAGGATCAGAAATCGGCACAGTGGTATCAAAGACAATGAATTCGCCATTCCGTAAATAGTTATTGATGATTTTAGAAGCTTTACGTGGATCTTCCTCCATGTATTGTCTTATAATTCGTGCAATATCTTCTGTAGATCCCCCACCATTGAATAATACGAGGCGAGTAATTCCTTCACGAATAATTTTTGGTACTTGGGTGAATTTATGTGTAATATAGATGGCAGAAATATTACTGTGCCGACCTCTGTTAAAAAATGGAATAATACGATCCTGAATTGATTTGGGTTCAGCACACAAATCCTCGAAAATTATAACTGTACGTCTTGTTGGATTTTTGAACTGTTTCAGATCTGGAATTTTATCAGGCGTAAGTGCAGTAAAAGTAACATCTTCATAATATGGTTTTGAACGATCTGCTATTTTCTTATAGAAATTTCGAACTAATCTATACTTGGGCTCATTGATAAAATGTCCCACGAGTACAAGATCATTACATCGTATAAAACGCTCACCGATTTTCTTTTTTCCCATTTTCATATCATAGTACTTATCTCCGAGAAAAAAGTTTAAAACCATATTGCTCTTCCCGCTATTCGATCTCCCACTAATAACAATATAGAAAGGCGACTTTGGAGCATCTTCATCATCTAAAGATTTCTTCGATGGTTTAACTTCATCAATATGGTATACATAGAAGTACTTCATTCTGATATAATTTCAACTATATCTTTACGAATTTTTTTTTCAAGCAAAATGATCGGCGTGGACAGTTGTTCACTTGCACGTGATATTTTTTCTTAATACTAATACTAATATATATATAGCATAAACATGGCGAACCTTACTGAAGCTCAAATTTACGCAGAAAAACGCGGAGGAAAATGTTGCATTCAAACCGGTCCTACAACTTTCTTATTTTCGTGTCATAAGAATCATTTATGGGAGTGGCCACTCGAAGTTATTATGAAGAGATATGACTGGTGTCCTCTATGTCCTCATTCGAAAGGGGAACGTACATCAAGGTATATATTCGAGGATTTGTTAAGAAGAGAATTTCTACCATCTCGACCTAAGTTCTTAGAAGGATTACATCTTGACGGTTATAATAAGGAATTGCAACTGGCGTTCGAATTTAATGGCCAACATCATTACTGTCTCATTCCAAAACATTTTCATCCCAATGGCCAGAATGATCTGGATAATCAAATCAAACGGGATCAAACAAAAGATGAATTGGTGCAAACAAAAGATGAATTATCTTTAAAAATCGGTGAGGTGGAACGTTTAAAATCAGATAAATCAATTGTTGGAGGTAATGAGCCTCAAGAAAACGTTTCTAAAGTATCTAATATTCTAGTTGATAATAAATCTAGTTTAGATACAAAATATCCTGCTCCAGAAAAAAGTCTTCATGAATATTTACGTGAAAATATAAAAATGCAACTACGGAAGTCAGAAGTTTCAGCTACGTCTCCCGAAATAAAAATTGTTGATGCTAATTCTCCAGATAAAGATAAGTCTGGTACCTCTTCATTTAAAGATGATACATTACAAAATATCGAGCCAATGAAGGTTATCTATCCTGAAGAAAATATTCCCAACTCCTCTTTGGATAAATCGAATTCCGAGCTTTCAATGGGAGGAATAGAAGCAATTCCTGCTATGGCAAGCGTTCTAGGTTCGCCAAAAATTCCATGGTTGATGATAACTTTATTGATTATTATTGTTATATTGGTTAGATTTATCCGACCTATATTGAATGCAAATAAAAAAAGTGGAACCGGGATTATTCGTCCACGTATAGCTAAGAATTTATTACCTATTGAATCTAAAAATTTTTAATGTTTGGAATAAGATTTATCAATGTTATAGTTTCTCTAATATTTGGGGTATTAGTAGGATACTTAATAATATAAGTCGACAATCTTAATATATTTTTATACTGTTTGGATCAATTCGAGTCCTTTATACCATGTATTTCTGAAATTCTCAAACATGGCTTGATTGGATTCCGATATGTGAGGTAATATAGGTTGAGAAATAATCATCTCGTTTTTTCTCATAGTTTCTGGTGTACCAATTTTTTCAGGTATAGAAATGTGCTCTTTATATCGCATATGATATACTAACTTATGGAAGAATGTATCATATTTTTCAATGATTTTAATTAACGTGTCCAAGTGTTTCACAAAACCATTACATATAGATTCTTTTATCATGTCATTTACTGAGATGTTTTTAGCGGAGCTAGTTTCATTATATTGTGTAGATGATTTTGCATATTCTATAAACCTTTCCCATAATATTTCTACAGGATTATCTACCTTAAAGTATTCGAAAGATAACCAATTACCATGAAATATTTCATATGAATCGCCTATATCCTGATGTAATATAACTCGTGCAATTTTGATGTAATTCTTGTAGGCACGTTTATATGCAGGTCCACGACTAGATATCATTTTGGGAGTAACACCATTCAATTCATTTACATATTCTTCAAGCCATTTTTTGGCTTTATTCTGAGAGTATATATCAATTTCTTTATATTTTTCGTCTGAATCTTCAAGTTCCATAATTTTATCAGAAGATGGTGGTTGGTATCTATCATCGTACATAATAAATCGGGCACAAAGACCAATAATATCGTCTCGGAGATAATATAAGTAATCTAACTCCTTTTCAAGTTCTTTTGCCACATCAACAAATTCCATTAGGTCTCCTTTAGTTGGATGCAACCTTTTCCCAGATAAATCGAAATCTGCATCAGCCTTGGTTACTACATAGTTGAAGCGTTCGCCTGGATCAGGAATTTTATTTTTGTAAAGTTTATTCATCCGTTTCATGAAACGCTGAACCGGTGGATTTTGCACATTGGGTTTCCATGTGTAGGTTTTGATAAAATGTTCATATTTCCATTGTTTAAGGTCTGAAATTGCTTCTCTAATAACATCTTCAACGATTTTATGAACTGGAACCTCATTATCAACCTCCATAGCTTTCCGCATAATTTTATCGCCAATAATTTTAAAAATTTCAGATTGGCCTTGTTTTACAGTATCAATTCCTTTTATAAATAGTTCTTTGGGTTTAAAGTTTGGGACGTCTACATGCGGAATTCCAAAATATTTTTTCTTTCCGGTGAAACAGACCTCCTCATATGCCATTTTAAGATAAGTTGATCCACTTTTTAATCTAAGATATGTGTTAACATCATCACGTAATTTTTTCATTACATTCATTGTAATTTGAACCATTTTGGACCAATATTCTAGCTTTGAGGTTACCCCTTTACCATTATTATAGGTGAGATCACATTCTTTATATTCTTTTTCGGGACAAGTTAGATATAAAGAATCAGTATCTCCATATTTGATTTTAAATCCTTTCTTTTTTTTTTACATATTCTGCAACGAGTTTGATATTATACTGTCCGGCTGTTGTTACGCCACCAGCAAGTTCGCGTTTAAAGAAAGGTGAAAGAGCATTTCCGGCTTCCCCATAAAAGGTATTCATAATTGTTTAATTGCTTTTTGTTTCGAATCCAAACAACTGTGATCAAAACAAATGGAATTATATTTCACTGTTTCTTCTTTTGATAAGGATTCTCTAGCCTCCATGTGGTCTTTTTTCTTCACAAGATTGGCGAGTTGTGTTTTCATTTCATTTCGTTTATTAAGCAATTTTTCTAAAACCGATAGATATAAACCTTTGTCTTCATTTCTATTCTCATGGCGTATGGCCCAAGCACGTAAAATTCGACCATTGAAATGGAATTCAATTTTATGGAGTGTTACATTTTTTTCCATTAAGGAATCTGCTTCTTCAGATGTTAAAATCATTTTATCTGGCGATAAATTATAAGTCATGATAA